GGTACATTAGCTACATAAAGCGAGAAGAGTAGCTGAATCCTTCAGGAACTCAGCATTCTTGGAAATGTATAGATGATTTATAAAATAATTACTGCCCAATTTGTATTACAACAGTCTTGAACACTGGATCAGTTTAAAGCCTAAAAACTCAAGCTGTTTTCCTAAATTCAGTGGAACACAATCCCAGGTAAATTAACCTATGATTAGGTTATATTAACCTATATATTGTTTAATATATGGCAATAAAGTCGACTCCCAGCCCAGTCCTAATAATTCCAATCATACTACTATTACATACAGCGAATAGTACTATGTCTTCTGTATGAATTTTCTTGGATCTAAATTAGAATCCAGAGTTAAGCCTATGATCACCGATCTGATAGTGAATCCCACTGACCCAAGCTCGGTAGGAATTTCTGTGAAATGGGCTGTGAATTGATATTCTCTCAAGTTTAGGCTTTGAATCTGCTTGCCTGTATTCTTATGCAGGTGAAATCCATAAAATTTGAGATTCAGAGAGGTTGGGTGTTTAAGTTCACCCCATATCAGGATGGTAGTTGGTCGTTATTGTTACTAGTAATGTCATCGTTAGAAACTGCTAATTCTGCTATTATATATAATTGTTGCCCATATTTTTAATAAGTGGGTAATAGGAACTCTGAGGAAGTCTATCCCGCCCAGACTCCCTTTGGATTGCGAGATGGGTGGCATATAAATTTGATAATAAATAAATAAATAAATAATGTAAAAATACCATTCATGGGCTCAAAGAAATCAGCGTAAAACAATCGTGACTAAGGGAAGCCTTTTGGTTTCAACAGAGTCTGTGCCTCACTCTGGCGCCATTAGACAGTTCAGCGAGGTTCCCGACGAACGCACGGAGCGTCTCAACCGAACCTCCCTAGCATCCACTGATCGCTTCTATAAAAGGGAAACCCAGTGAGCCCAACCGTCCTCGAGTCCCTCCTGTTTTCTCAGAAGATTCTTCGTTAGGGACGCCCAAGCAGCCTTTGACTGACCAGATGGGGGCTAAGGAGTGGGAGAGAAGCCAAGTGGGGCGGGCGAGACGGGGAATTCGCCGAAGCGAAAGCGCAACCTCTGCTATAAGTTGGGGACCTGGTATGCGCGCCAGACAGCAAGAAAACGCTGCCTAACCTTCCTCTCCATTTCTGCCCTGCTTCTGCCTTGGATTGCACTTCAAATTTCATTAGAGGAGCGGTGTAGGGAAGGGAAAGAGGGGGGGGGGAACGAAAGCTTTCATGCGGTGGAAGGCGCTGGGTTTTGCGCCTCTCTTTCACACAGAGATTCGCGCGCTTCCACCGGCACCATTGATTTTTCTAAGCTTGGGAAGGCAGGAAGAGTAGTTGGTAGAGGTGCTGACATATGTCCCAAGGCTCCGCTGCTGCTGCTGCTGCTGTTGCTGCTATTGCTACAGCTACACCTGTGGAAGGAAATGCCTCCCGGGCGAGGGGGGTGCGAAGAAGCCCCGGCCGGCTTGGGTGGTCAAGGAAAGAACTGGCCCTAACTAGCTAAACACCGCCGACCTCAAAAGAGCAGCGATTCAGAATCTCAGCAGGCGCCCCGCCTTGGTTTCCGCTGGGGCCGGACACTGGCACTTTCAGACCCAGGGGCAGAGCTGCGACAGGGGCCGGAGGGCATTCCTACCCCCAGGCTCCAAAGGGTTTTGGATTAAGGAAGGAATCCGCCCGGGATTGGAAGTCACAGAGGTTTGTCCCCCTGTGTGCCTGATTCAGAAACCAATCTCTCTGCGAGGGGAGGCAATTACTGTATTCCTAAAGATTTTTTTTTTTAACCTCTTCGAATCTACACAGGAGCTAACCATTTGTAGGCGATCATCCGGATCACCATCAGCGATAAAAAAAAGAAGCCCCAAAAAAGTGTTTTTTTGTCACACACACTTGATCTGAGGACTTGAAATTTCACAGCGATAGAGATCTGACTTTGAGAGATACAGTATCTTTACAGTTTTATAAATAGCTTTATGGATTCAGGATTGGTACCAATTAGTGAAGTGTCACCATTGATTTTGGCAAAATAATGCTAAAGATTATTTTTAGCATTTCCACTAAAAACAGTTCATTTTCAACCATGCACTTCTCCTTGATAGATTTATCTTTATGTAGCGATTCAAGCGGTTTAATCAAATATAAGGGAAAGCTAGGTGCCATTCTGCTCATTAGAACTTCTTCTGAATTTTGTTTCTAGATTTTAAAATGCAATCAGCCTTGGCTTTATGAATATAACTTAAATGCTGACTTTTTCAAGTCAGAAAAAAACCTTCACGCTTCTTTTTAAAAAACACAATATTGTTATTGTTCCCGGGTCAAGCATCTTAATTTGAAAATAAATTTCATTAGAAATATTGAATGTCTTTCTGAATAAAACTCTATTATTAGGTTACACCAATCTGAAACTTTTTTCCAATGTAAGGATAGCAACAACCTATTGAATATATCCGTTCTGAAGAGTGTAATCAATGTAATCAATATTGCAAATATCTGTTACTGAAATGGTTTTACTGAAAACCAATAAGCATGCACACTATTAGAATTCTGCTGTTTATTATTTGATTTTAAATATTTCTAACTTTGAGTAAATCAGATTAAATTGATCTTATTGTGTAGGATCAATGAAAAACCAGGGCCTTTGAGTTCAATGGGATTTGCTCCCAGGTTTGATGAATAGTTTGTAACAATGGTCTATGTTGTTTGGCAGCATATACATACAAAAGTAATATATAAATGTATATAAATAGCACACACAAAAATAGATCCATAAATTACTATAAATAAATTTCGTGAATGTCCTTGTATACTATGAAGTTTCGGTATTTTTGAAATCCAACTTGGGAGGCGGAGTCTTATGTTTCTCAATATAAATCCAGTAAATTTTTCCACTCGGTTATATAATTATAAAAAAGAATGGTTAAGGGACTATGGTAGGCACACTAAAGGTAGGAATAAATTCCACTGAATTCATGGAGAATTATTTTGGCATAGGCTTTGATAAAATCAAGTTATCTTTCTTCAAAAATATAACTGGTTAAACTTGCACAATAAATATTTACATTCTCTATTTTTTTCTAACACTGAAGGAAGTCATTCAGAATTTCTCTATAGCCTTTTTTAAGGATTAAGCTTTCTGTATTTAAAATTAAAATTAAAATTGTGCTGTCAGGCACTTTGTACTGAACAAAGAAGCGTGTTGAGAAAGGTCTGACTCGAAATTCCCTTTCCGACGTGCACTCCGTTTCCTGCAGCAGCTGCACTGAGGCACCTAGGCAGGCAGACCGGATGACGTATCTGTCCTTCGGCTGTCGGCAGCCTCGTGTGCGGCGGCTGTTCAGGTGAAGACCATCAGGTTTATAGGTCGAGAGGAAAACACAGGAAAACCCTGTTGGAGCAACTTGGAAACTTAAGACGCAGCAGGTCCTTCAGTGATCAGCTTTTCTCCAAAAGAGATCTCGAGTTTGGGATGGGATTTCCCAGGAGGGATTCAGCAGTTGAAAGTTTGGGGCAGAGACCCAGTCCCAGGCGCAGAGAAGACGGGTGCTACTTGTGGCCTGTAGCAATGGCCCTGCAGAAAACCATCTCGCCCTGCCCTGCCTCCGCTTTCCTGTTTCATTCTCCCTTGCCCCAACTGCCTATATCTTTTCTTTTATGTACACTGAGAGCGTATTTACCAAGACAAATTCCTTGTGTGTCCAATCACACTTGGCCAATAAAGAATTCTATTCTATTCTATACGTTCACACCTGCAAGAGTGTCTTTGAAATCAACTATCTCAACAGCCTGTTTTTCAAACGGCTTGTCTAGAGAAATCAACCCTGAGGAATGCCAAAGGGCTTTTCCTTTCTTTTAAAACTGGGGATGAATCTAAAGGTCGCAATGAAAGAGCTCCGTCTACAGCAGTATATGCGTGGGAGTTAAAGGGCTGTTTGGCTCCGAAGACAGATGTCACCTGGCCAGGTCAGCCAGTTCTACTGAGCGACCTGTCTGGGTAAGAAGGTTCAGAAGGAAACGCACAACTGTCAGTCCCCGACGCGCTGGTAGATGGCCTTACAACCTTTCAATTCGGGGCGCAGCGCTGTTCTAGGGGCCCAGCCCTGCCTCCTTAAAAGTAGCAAGTTGCAGAAAAGCTCCTTCGTCCACAAATCTATTCCGCCTTGGCTTCCCTGCGGCTGAGCTCGCTCGACCTTTTTTTTTTTTTTTTTTAAACGCCGATTTCTGGCTTCCATCTCCAGCCCGGCTCCACCGCTGCTGCGCTCGAACAAATCCCTTACTCCTCAGGAGATCAGCTTGCAGAAGCAGGGAAAGATTTTTCCTTTTATTCCTCTTCCATCCACCCACCCATCCTCACCCCACCCCCCACCCCAAATTTCCGCCTAAGCTGCCTCCTGCATTAGCCGCATTGGCAAAAAAGAAAAAAGAAAGAAAGAAAGAAAAAGATGCCGCTTTCCCCCTGATTTGGGCGTGCATGTGTGCGCGCGTTTGCCACCCCACCCCCCACACTTCCCTTCGCTCCACGACCCCCACCCTTGGCTTACGCATATGATTTCCTGGTTGGGGTGTCCTTCTCGTGCAATGTGACTTTGCCATGAACTCGCCCGTGCCCAGCTGGCTCCCAGGACTGGGGAGGGGGTGGTGGGGGGGGGGTGAGAAGCATCCTGACGAAAGCGGAACTGGCCGGAGCCCATACAAATCAGAAAAGAGCTACCCCAGAAGAGCAGTGAGGAGATACCGGAGCCTGCGGATGAGAAAAGACGCTGCGCCGGCCGCCGCCGCTTGAAAACAGACGGGAAGGAAGGCGGAGGACGGCAAAGCCCAGCAGGCGCAAGCGGACTTAAAACCAGCAGGCGGGATTGGCCGCTGGAGCAGAACTTTTTTCCCCCCTGCGGGATCCTGGGGGAGCCGCCGCCGCCGCCGCCGCCGGAGGAGCCGTCACCGTCCGAGGGGAGCAGCAGGTGGTGGTGGGCCATGATGACCACCAGCTTCCAAGAGCCTCCGCCCGAGGACACGGTGGCCCTTCTGCACCGGGCCAAGGAGCCGGGCGGCGGCGGCGGCGGCGGAGAGACGGCGGCCAAAGGCGAACTGAGCCCGGCTTCCAGCAAGGCGCCGTCGTCCGTCGGAACCGCGGCGGCTGCAGCGGCGGAGAAGAGCGACCCGACGCAGAAGCCGCCCTACTCCTACGTGGCGCTGATCGCCATGGCCATCCGCGAGAGCGCCGAGAAGCGCCTGACTCTGTCGGGCATCTACCAGTACATCATCAGCAAGTTCCCCTTCTACGAGAAGAACAAGAAGGGCTGGCAGAACAGCATCCGCCACAACCTCAGCCTCAACGAGTGCTTCATCAAAGTGCCGCGAGAGGGCGGCGGAGAGCGCAAAGGCAACTACTGGACGCTCGACCCGGCCTGCGAGGACATGTTCGAGAAGGGCAACTACCGCCGGCGCCGCCGCATGAAGAGGCCCTTCCGCCCGCCCACGGGCCACTTCCAGCCGGGCAAGAGCCTGTTCGGGGCCGCGGCTGAGGCGGCCGGCTACGGTTACCTCACGGCGCCCCCCGCCAAGTACCTGCAGGCGCCTTTCCTCAACGCCGCCGCTTCCTGGTCCTTGGCGCAGCCCGCGCCGCCGCCGCCTCAGGCGCCCTCAGCCGCTTCCTACGGGGCCTGTCAAATGGCGGCTGTGGAGGCAGGCGGCGGCGGCGGCAGCCCGGGTGGCAACGGCGGCGGCAGTCCTGTCAGCGGCGTGAAAGGAATGGGACTGTCGGCCGGGCCCGCCGGCGCCGGCTCAGCCTACGGCCCTTACTCGCGCCTTCCCGCCATGGTGAACTCGTACAACGGCATGGGCCACCACCATGCCCACCACCACCCGCACGCCCACCACCACCACCCGCACGCCCACCACCACCATCACCACCACCACCACACGGCCCAGCAGCTCGGCGCGGCGGCGGTGGCGGCGGCTGCGGCAGCGGCGGCCGCTGCCTCGGCGGGAAACCCTTCCCCTCAAGCGGCGCCCAACGGAGCCGCCGGCCTGCAGTTCGCCTGCGCGCGCCAACCGCCCGAGCTGGCCATGATGCACTGTTCGTACTGGGACCACGACAGCAAACACAGCGCCTTGCACCCCCGGATAGACCTCTGAGGAAGCGGACGAGAGCCGCGTCTCTGCCCAGGGGTCGCCCCGCAGCCCACCGACCCCTTCCCCGCGCAAAGAGAAAAGCTTGGATCGCCTTTCCTCGTCATTTTCCTTCCACCCCCACCCCACCCCGATGCCCGGTGCATGCAGTCACTTTCAGCGGAGAAAGACCCGCTAAAACTCTGTGTCTCTTTGCAGCTCTACGGATCCTCTCCGGCTGCAGGTGAAGGCAAACGCGACGTGCCCGAGGACTTTTCCCACCTCCTCTTCCTCCTCCTCTTCTGCTTCGAGTAACTCGGCTTTGGGGATGTAAATCCTCCTGTCGGTCAGTTTTTAGGGGGGTGGGGGTGTTAGACAACGCAGAGTTTTGCTCAATCTCCCTAGTACAAGCCCTAATAAAACTAAAGCTAAAGTCGCCTCCGGATTTTGTTTTTAGTTGCTTTATAAATAACACTGGCGATACAACACGGATCAAGACTGTAGTAGAAGAAGACGTCCTTTGCGTGGTCACCCCGAACTTAATTTGCAGAAGCAGGGAGAGTTGGTAGTAAGTAATGTTTTTAAGATCGAAACGTGGGTCTTAATTGCAGAGGCATTTGCTTTGCATTGTGAGTTTAAACGGGGTTAAAATTCAAAGAAAATCGGGGGGGGGGATCATGTTTGGTAAAAATCATGTTCTTGGGTAAAGAATTACGAAATGATAGATTCACCGCTGCAGATGAGAGGTGTCGAATCAACAACTTAATTTCCTGCTCAGAACAACTAAACCACCAAACTTTAAAGCCAATAAAGGCCACGCTTGTTTATTTGGGATATATATATACTAAATTGTGTTTGAACTTCAGTTATCTAGGATGGCAATGGCTGTAAATCCTATTGAATCGAGCCTGTCAATTTAACAATTTGGAATCCTGTTTATATCAGAAAGATTTACATTTGGATTTAAGCAGGAATAATTTTGACGCAATTCACAATCCTTTTAGACTGATGTTTTTAGAATTGCATTTAATGGTTTACATGATCTCTCTGTTCTAAAAAATGTAAAGCACACCAAGTTTATTAGGATATATTTTCAAAAATTGTTTCCAAGAATGGCAAAACACATTTTTGTGAATATAAATTTCATGAAACGCTTAGACTTTCATTCCACTGTACTGTGGTTTACAGTCGGTTTCAAGACTTGTTTTCAGTTTTCTGGCTCAGGACATATTAATTTGGACACTTGAGTTTCAACAAGTTTAGGGATGTTTAAAGTTGAGAGGGGAAGAGGTTTGCATTAATTGGATTAATCTGATTACAGTGGATAATTACTGGAGACAACTGTTTGAAATCTAGAAGGTGGGGTGTTAAAAATGCCAGCATTTTGAACAGATTTGCTAATACAAATAATGGAAAGCACTAGACTTTCACTTCGCCTTTCTTTTGGCATAGACTTGTCCACTGTGACCCCAATGATGGAGGAGGGGGACAATGCACTTCATCAAATCTTAATATAATTGTCCAAAAAAGTACTTATTTGGGCACTGTATTTTACCAGAAAGGCCCCTTCTTGGGGTGACTTGTAGCCAAGTTGATTTGAAAGGGGAAGGCATTTTAAGAACAAGTTTAAAACAATTGTATATGTATATGTATTTTTTTTACAAAAAGAAAATAGTATTTTCTCAAGATAAAGTAAGTTTATACTGTATAAACTTTATGCTAAAATTATTTGGATAAAACAAAGCTATTCTCTATTATTATGAATAGTAGTAATGGAGACTGTTTTTTTGCAATGATGCTGTTTTATACACACACATCTATCCTACCCACATGGGTATTCAGAATATTTTTTATCTTTTTTAAACTGAAACTATTTTGCCTGTAAATCAATTTTCATGGGTGGTCCTCTGCTTTCCTCTTCTTTTGTGAAACAAAGTTTCAGTATTTGATCTAGAAAAAGAAGATGAACAGAAAATGTATTAATGGGGAAAGTGGGGAGTCATAGCAGTTTGCTTAAATACTTTTGTAAGCAAACTGTTTTGGTATTGTGCCTTTCTGGGACCAACTTTTTTTTTTAGAATAACTAGCACTTTTATTGTATATCCCTTTGTATAGTCTCCAATAAAATGTTCTTTTTTTCTCTTTTATGTTTGATTTTCTTTTGTTCCACTATTGGTCAAATGCTGCAGATCTTTTAAAATATCATTACTTTCTGAAAATGCGTAATTTGCTACAAAAGCTGCCAAATATAAACATAAATATAGACTTGAGCAGAAAGTTTAGAATTTACTTATATTATTCTCCACTTTCATTTCTGGAATTTGGTGTTCAAAACAAAAACAAAAATACATAAGCCTCAGTTATAATAGTAATAATAACTATAATCATCTGAAAATATTATTAAAATCACTGCCCCAACTAGCAATGTTATTTATATGGATTGTGTTATTTATATGCCTTATCTAAATGGCTGGATCTAAAGCATTTGCATTTGGAGTATTACTAATAGGTAAATTCCTCTGAAATCAATATTTTTGTTTCCATGTCATGATTATTAGGCCAAGAATACTTATGGTCCAGTGGTCTTAATTACATTTACTCAGAAATACATCTGATGTGTGAAGCTTTTAGGGTCCCTTACTAGAAATCCTCCCTTTCTACCAGTATTTATGTGGAACTACATTTCATTTAAAATAATGGCAGGATACCTGGGAGGATCTAACTTCAGAAGATTGTGGTCTGGTTTGGTGACTGACTCTTGAAAGTGCTGTTAGTATCAGGCTTAAAAAAATAATTATCACTTCTAAGTTGTTCTAAACCGTGCAAAAAAGAGGTCCTTGCTTGTGAAGATCTTGCAGAGTTAATCCAGATGGATTTTTCTTTAATAGTGAGCATATGTTGGAAAAAGATACCTAGTAGCCCTTTTATTACAGCATTATCTTTTTCTTTCTTTCTTGTAATATATGTACGATTACAACATCTTTTACCTATAACACAAAAAGTGTAGGCAATTATAGGCCAGAGGTCTGTAAAATATAAGTGTGAAAAATATCTGGTGAACATATTCTTTTATTTTCAGAGAGTAAAACCATTTCAAAAAAAATATCTTTATTATGTAAGTATTGTGCACTATACATATATAATACCAAATGTCTGATAAGAATATTTGCAGCCCTACCCCAAAGAAGCACATTTTTAAAGAAAGAAATTCCAATGGATTCAGTGGGACTTATTTACCTCCTCCCTAATTTATGTAGGAACAGCTATATTTTCAATTATACCCATTTGATGATGATAGAAAGTAGATGCTTGGGGGAGGGACGCTGGAATTGTGCTCTAAGTCTATCACATTCTTTCCAACAGTGTTTGCGTGTAGCACCTTGCAGATTTTAGTCTTACGTTTCCATAAGAGGCAGTTTATGCAAATGAAACTCTTGGACAGTGCTTTTAGGCCTATATTTCTAGTGTTATTTTTTAACGGACTATGGGCTGCCTGAAACATTTTCACATGTGTCCTAGCTACGCTTGCTAAACACTCTTAAGACCTAATGTGGTTTCCTTGACCTTTATTGTGTTTTATTAAAGCATGGATTATGATTACAGTGTTATGTAAACTCAGCCTCGGGTCCCCCCACCCCCACCCCCCAATTATAGGATGCCCAAGGAACCAAGGCGCACTTAGCCAGACTTGTATTTGCCTAATGTGTAATTGCCCAATGTCTACGGTAATATATGATTTCTATAATATCTACCTAATGTCTAATATAGTCTAAATGAGGGTCGGGGAGAAACTCCCAAGTACAGGAGGCACCGGCGTTTGCTTTTTAGCGGACGGAAGTTATTAATGTAATCTGGAAAGGCTACATTTGACTTTCTGTCCCTTTCTCTCCCTCGGTTTAATCGACGGGGAAAGCCGAAGGCCCCCCTCTCCACTCATGCCAAAGGAGATAGCCGGGCTTGGTCCTCCAACCAAGTAAAGCCAGGAAGGCATTTAATCCTCCCAAAACCTCGGAGTCCGGAAAAAAGGGGCCCTTGGAAGCTGGCTGAATCTCTTCTGGTTAGTGCTGCGGTTCGCGCACAGCTTTCTTCCGAACGGCCTGTGGAGAGCGATGGGGAAGAAGCCAGCCCGGCTAGCTTTCTGCAATAATCGCTTAGTAATCATTTCATTGCGGTCTAAGTAGATGGCCGGGGAAAGAGGGAGACAAGTAGTCCCGCATGTGGGAACTGTTCATCAAATCGGCCGTGGGAAGAGCGAGGCGTCATTTCTGAAGGAGAACCGGGTTTCTGGCGTGAAAGGAAAAGCCAGGCCACTCGCTCAGACCTTAAGGCTTCAAAAGAACAGATTCACGGGGCAGGGAGAGGCGAGTCCAGCTTTTGGCACACTGCGCGGGTTCCGATCCACCTACACAGAGATTTTTCGGGGCAGCGGGAAAAGGTCCCGAGGCAATGCGCGTTCGTGGAGCTATCACGGAACAGGGCTGTGAGGGGGACTGAGGATGCATTCGCCACGGTCTTTTTAGCGGGGCTGTTATGGGTTTCTGTGCTTGTCCATCGCCAGGTCAATTCTCTAGGAGTTGGAGAAGGAGCAGAAATCATCACAGTTTAGCCTATTAGATCTTAACTTCCAGTGCAGTTTACATTTCAATAGTAAATGTAATAGATGGGAAGAATCCGCTGGCACCTTCCCCCTCACCAAACCAGGGTTTAGAACTACGATTCTGTTTTTCTGTCCCATATGACCTAAATAACAGAGAAGAGGGTACATGATTTCTGATACTCCAGAATTTTCTTTTATACAAAGTCTGGCCATCCTGTATTGGGAGTAAGGCCCATTGAATTCAGTTCGGTACTTCGTGGACCAAAAGTATCAAACTGTGGAGCAACAGACATTACCTAACATTTTGAGTAATCCAGTCCCTCAAGCCCTAATAGGATGGACTGGGAGCAGTGTGTAAAAATATGTACACCGCACATTGTTTTGCATTAACTGAGATTACAAACTCGCGCGTTATTTGAACTCTGCTAAAGCAAATTAAAAATTCAAGGTAAGTGAAGGGTGTAATCTATTTTGTTGCGGCCCCCACACTCTCCTTAACAAAGCAAGAGACACACCAGGCAGGTGTTAAAAATATTGGGTAGCAGAATCCTAGGTATATACAACATAAAAAGATGGCTGCGTGTGTTGGGACAAGTCGCCACAGTAAATCCTAAAATGGGCGAACTCGATGCATACAAAATAAACTTTCAAGCCGTTTCAGTTGAAATACTGTCCTCCCTTCTGCTCGGTTCCCCCTCCCTCCATGAAAATCCTACAGACAGAAATCCTAAACCCATGTTTTAGGAAATAAATACCGAGCAAAACAAAAAACAAAAAACACGCGGTTCGAAAATCAGTTCCCAAATGAACGGCGGTAGCTCAGAGCGTGTGCGCTGCAGCGGTTCTGGCATGCCTTAGTAGCAACAAGGGCAACTTTTACTCCGGGTGGAAACCGCGCGGAAGGCTCTTCTCTTTTGTCAAGCCTTTGGGAAGACCCTGAATTGGTAGGAATCCTAGGGACTAACCAATTACCTACGGAACTGATCTTGGGGGCAGGGGAGGGAATGCTCAGGAAAAATCAGCAGGAGCTTCTAAGGAGCACCTTCTGCCCTATATTTTGGAAAATCAGGATGCTTTGTCCTTTTATGACTTCGGGAATCGGACGCTTCTCTCCGATTGCACCATTTAATCGATTTTCTCATTCTCCAGTTCTTCCTTTGACTTTGCGTCCTCTCTATTTCCATAAAGAGGTGTCATTCATGTTGCTAAAGATTTGTGTTGAGATCGGGGTTGAAAAGGAACGAAGAGACAATTCTACGGGGGGGAAAAATCATTGTTAAAGCCATAGGACCCAGCAGACAGGCCTCGAATCGAACCTAAGAATGATTGAAATTCAAGGAAATTAAAGTCCATGATTAAACGGTTCCAAGTTAAATTAGTTTATGTCATGTTCTTCGTTTCCTTAGAATAATGCACTTCTATCTTGTCCATCTTTTAATCTATGCAATTGCTCCATGTAGATATTTAGAAAAATATCCTTGTTTCTGTAAAGTCCTATTAAATTCAAGAGGTTTTCTCCAACTAAATGCATGTGGTTTTCAGTCTAAACTTATATTTTTATATAACAACTGTGATAAAGTACACTTAATCTAATAATGGCTGGGGAATGGATGGACAGGGATAGGACATCCTTGAAAGGAATTCAGTCAACTACTCAAATCTTACTAAAATGAACTTGGCAGGATTGGAACCTCTATTTTACAAATAAAAGGGAGAAAGCCTATACATTTGTTAAAACCATAAAATCTTCTCCACCCTCTTGTCTACTTTTAAACACAATATACATTAGAAATAGCTTTGTCTATTAGATTAGTACAAGCAAATGGCCATTTGGAAATCAATTGGCATAGGGGCGCATGCAGGTAATGCTCCTTTGTAAATGTGCTCTGATTGCTGAGCACAATCAACCAAAGATGAACATTGTAGCTGTGCAGGTTTGCTCAGCATTAACTCCCACTATGGTTATTGGGGTTTATCCCCCAAAAACTGTATCCAGTTTTTTTTATCCAGGAATAAATTCTTAAATTTAGTGGGGTTTAGTTCTGAATAAACCTGCATGGGATGATGATGGGCTCCTGTTTTTAAGTACTTGTTGAGAGCTGATTTGGCATTTCCAAACCAGTGCCAGAGTGCTTTGCTGTCCCATGGAAAAAAAAACACTTGAAGGCAGGGGTGAAATCCAGCAGGTTCTAACAGATTCTGTAGAACCAGTAGCGGAAATTTTGAGTAGTTCGGAGAACCGGCAAATACCACCTCTGGCTAGCCCCAGAGTGGGGTGGGAATGGAGATTTTGCAGTATCCTTCCCCAGCCACGCCCACCAAGCCATGCCCACAGAACCGATAGGGAAAAATTTTAGATTTCATCCCTGCTTGAAGGGGTTTGTCCTTCTGACACTCCAAATACAGGAGTTATCAAACCAAAGTTGTGCTTGCCTAAAATCATTGAATTCAAGCTAGTTTAAGATTGTAGTTTGGGATCTTAAATACCAGATTATACTTTTTTTCAACAAGAACGCAACAAGAAAGAAGGCTGACTTTTTCATAAGAAAA